CCCCCCCAAACTGAAAATTATGGTTGGTTCCACCCCTGTTCTTGGTCTATGATGATATCTACCTATTTGGCTGCTATAAAAGAAAATCACTTTATTTCTTGATACAATTCTAGTTCGAAATGTTAATTTTTCTACTATCGACAGTCAACTCCTTCATCAAGTGAGGGAATTTTGAGGAGAGATTATCGCTTTATGCAAACATCTGACTTGGTTTTACAGCTTTGTTTATTTCTTTTTATTTAGTGGTCTTAATTTTTTTATTCGATTGATTGTGTAAATGATTTTATTCTAGTCTGAAATAGTTTAAGCTTCAACGAATGCTAAAATTTGAACTCTGTCTGTAGTTTTCTTTGTTCTAAGTTTCACAATGTCGTTTTTGGCTAAAGGCATTGATTTATTATTTGAATGCATTCTTTTCACATTTTTCATTTTTCATTGAAAGTAATATTTAAGTCTTAAAATTTGAGAGTTTTTTATCTGTGAATTTTGTGTTTGCTGCGATTTTTCTTCATATCATCTTATTTCTACTTTAGAAGCTTCATTCCCTAAGATGTTCTATATCACCATTTAATTTTTATATATCTTACCATTATAATTGGGATGATGATGATATCTTGATTTTTTTTTAAATTTCTTCAACATTTTAAGTTTTGGTTGGCTGTAAACAAATTCTGGTGTCAAGTAATTTGCTACAGAATAAACTACAGTCGCATTAGGTTCTTTTGTTTTTGCTGCAAAATTTTGTAAAGCAAATGGAATGCATATTAACTCACTTTTCCTATTTGATTTGTTAGGAACTTGCTACATTCCAATCAACCCTTTTGTTAGTTTGTTCTCTCTCAAAGTTCTCGCAAAATAAATGCAACCATTTCATATTTATTTTGTAGGGGTTTTTTTACCCTGCAAGTTTTTTTCTTGCAAACCAACTTACCCCCTATTTTGTAGCACATTTGTGACGTGGATGACCTGCATAGTGAAAGAAACACATCAACTTTGAACCAAAATTTTGTTGTTTCATGCAGTCAATACCTGGACGATATTTAAACTCACTTAAGCATTTGTACAGAAAGTCGCCTTAGCTGGTTTGGTCACATAAAACGGCGGCCTTGCGATGACCCGGTTAGGAGAGTAGAGGTATTAGATTTGACTTATGTTAAGAAATGTAGGGGTAGACCTAAAAAGACTTGGTTAGAAAATATTAGGAATGACCTTTCTTTATTAGATTTAAACGAGAATTTGACTTTTAATAGGACACAATGGAGAAAAAGGATTCATGTAGCCGACCCCACGTAGTGGGATAAAGGCTTGATGTTGTTGTTGTTGTTGTTGTTAAGCACTTGTACAGAAAGATATTCCTGGTGATATTGCTTGTTTCTTGGACAACTTACTAAATAAAGCATATTTTATTTCGTTGCCAACTTCGATTATATATATATACATACACTATGAACAAACTTTTTGTCTTCATATTTAAATAGATGTGTTAGGTTATTAGCCATGTTTTTATTCTTACAATGATTTTTCTTCTTTTTAATATTTAGATCGAGTTGTAATTACCACTTAAATGGTGTAGTTTTTCATGCCATTAAGAAAATTTGGAGCTTTTTAACATGTTAGCCCAATTACCTTTGAGTAGATGCGAATGTGCTCTTAGTGTCTTTTAAGATATTTGATCATCCAAGCCAACATCTTCCTTAATACAAATACAATTATAGTCAATTAGATTGAAACTTAAATATGTATTTGCCTGAATATTCCAATGGAGGTGGTAAACATAGTTTGAACCTGTATTGTTTGGTTTCATCTATTTAATTGTCAGTATTACCTACAAATTGGTTATCTGATTGTGACTACTAGTTGTTATTCACTTCCATCAACAAAATCATCTGTTGATATGATGGATTAAACTTAGAAATGGGAGAAAAGAGAGTGAAAGGCGCTTGATTTTCAAGGTTGAAACTAAGAGGAACTTCCGTAATCTGATTCTTTGACCAGCTAGATTTAGGCTTCATTCGACTAAGGTGCGGTTTGGTTGCCTGCAAAGTAAACGCAATGTAAAGTAAATGCAGTGTAAAGTAAATGTAGTGCATTCCAAATACATTAAGTCTGTTTGGTTGTCTGCAAAGTAAACGCAAGAGAAATGTTTCCCTTGTTTGATTAGATATATCTAGAGTAAAGTAAAAGCATAATAGGTAACAACCTTAAAGTTTTGAAATTTAATAAAATTCAAGGAAAGAAGTAGAGCTCTGAGTTCGAGATCATTAATCTTTGGAGGGAGCATCCAATAGGCTTCACCGGCCACACTCCAGCGGTGAACTCGGAAGGAAACTGAGCATAATCAAAACAGCAGTCGTATATAAGATGGTTCGCTCTAACCCATATTAACTGGTGAAGCACATTTTCATCATAAAAATTTATAAGAATCAATATCAAGGCACTAAACAAACGAAATTATGATTAATGAAGGAAAAACAAAGTGAAAGAAAATTGTTTCAAACAGACTCCTAAGTAAGAGAGATTTTTTAATGAATTTAGCGTTAGAAAAACCTGCTTAATAGTAATTTGAATTAATACTTTTTTTTAGTCGTAATCACAAAATCACAAAAAAAAAAGCTCTCAAAATCTATCCTTAGTCCAGCATAAAATGAGAACAAGAGATTAGCTTTATTTCTCCTCGTATTCTCCGCCCTCTGTCTCCTTTCGATCAAAGTCTTTAGCTTCAACTTCTCTCGCAATTCTCACCTCGCAGAAATCATATTTCCCACCCCCCTCAGCTTTAACTCTGCCGCTTCAGCTGCTGACTCAAACTGCCATAGCCACCACCGCCTGGCCGCAGACGCAGATCCACCGGAATACCCAGTCGCGGGCGACGCCCCACCAGTCAAGCTCGATCTCAAGCATCACCGCCCCTTGCTTTTGCGCCCAAAGCGGCTAACTTGGGCTCACCGGCGCCGGCTGTCGCTGGTTGGTCTGTCACAACGGTGGAATCCGGCGTTGCTTTGGGCTCCGGCAAATATTTCATCGACGTCTTCATCGACACCCCGTCGCAGCATTTCTCTCTGATTCTTGACACCGGAAGCGACCTCAATTGGTTACAGTGCCTCCCTGTCACGCCTGCTTTGAACAGATTGGCCCAATCTACGATCCCTCTTCATCCTCTTCCTACCGCAATCTCAGTTGTACCGACCCCGTCCGGAGCTCTTTACCCCCTGCCTCGCCGTCGAAGACCATTCCTCCTGCCCTTACTTCTACTGGTACGGAGACCACTCTAACACAACCGGAGACCTCGCCACCGAGATCTTGTTTGGTTTGATTGATCCAGAGTGTTCGATGCATCGGGGGAGAAGGGGCAACTTCCGATCGGACAGGCAAAGGAGCGAAGTCGAAGAAGAACGAAGGAGCCGAAGAAGCATCTCGTGCAATCTTACACCTCCTGCGAAGCAATGAAGCCGAACAACAACGACGCGAGGAATTCTACTCCAGCGAATTTAAAACCCGCTCAATATGAGCGGGTTTCTAATTCACGCAAAACAGGTCCCGTAATACACGCCTAATGCTTCGGAGGATTTTCTTTTGTTCCGCTCAAAATTAACCAAACAACCAAATTTAATAAATACATGTATTTGTTTTACTTTACACTACTAACTCAGGCAACCAAACAGCCCCTAAGCGTTTCTTCTTTTCTTTTGAAAAATAGTTTTTGTGTGAGAAATGCAATATTTAAATTTCCACCTAGCCGTTACACCATTTCTACCATTTCATGTGCACATGAACACTGATGGAGAGTAGCTTGCCCGTCTATGTGATAGTAAGGTATTTTTATTTATGCAACATTGATTCAACACGGCAGAGAAACAATATTATCAAACTAAGCTTTAATGAGCAATTACAGATTATCTTAGGAAATTAAGAATGACGAGTGATATGTGTGATAAAGACTTCTTGTTGTTTGAGTGATATGTCAAGGAGGGCAATTTTTAGTTCAAAAAATTGTTGATAGATTTGGTCATTGACTAGACTATTGTTCTCTTGTTGGCTCAATAACAGCTGCGCATGATTTTTTAGCTGGCTCAACAATATTTTTTCCTTTTTTGACAAGGGCTCAATAATTAACAAATCGAGTTTATCTGAGCTCCATTCATTTATGTTCGGTTTGTTTACACCCTATTTCTGACATCTTTTGTGGGAGTGAGGGAGGGAGATTGCTAGCTTGTTTGTTAGAACTTTTTATAGAAAAAAAAAATTTGGTCAAGATATCCATATTAAATTTTTTGTCAAAATGGGTCTTAAAAATTATTGAATTTATTTATTGATGGATACAATACATTAAACTTACCTTAAAATAAAATTTAAAATTTTTTAGATTCATCTTGTTCATCTTTCTGTTAGGATATCCTGATCAAAAACCTCCAATATGGTTTATAATGATATGTAGCCTTCAAATATGCCATGTTTTTAAAGTTTTGATCTGAATTGTTTGCAATTTAACTAAATCGTTGTCACACGATATGTTTAGAGCTTTCTTATTTTTACTGTGGATGAGTCAGTGTGCTTCTTTATTATGGTCTTCTCCTTTGGAAATGCTGTGCACCTATCCGTAGCCTGAGAAACTTGACTAAGGGAGCAGTAAAGAATCTATTTAAGGTTTCATTTGCGACGGCTTTATTATTGCTTTTTAAAACAGTTTTCTAATTTAAAAATTAAAATTTTTATACTATAAAACTACTTTATGAAGTAGTAAGAAAGTCGTCCCAAATGAAGCCTAAGCCTCTCTTGGAAGTAAACCCAATGGCTTGTCTTCCTGCATATTTTTTAGTCCATGCTAAGCTCTACTTATTTGAGCTTTCATCTTGTGGTTTCACCAAAAAGGTTTACAGGGCTTGCCTGTTTGTTTTTATAAAATGGAGAAGGTGCTGCTGCATACGGATTAATTATACTGTGCGGGCCCCGAACGTCATTCGGAGACAAACCAGAATGCGCCATGTCATTCCTTGCTCGATACCGCGGCTCGGTACCGCTCGGTACCGCGTATTCTTGTTGGTCTCCGGACGACATTCTGCGTCCGGTCTCCGCACAAAATAATTTCTTGCCCATATTTATCATCCATTTGAGAAGATTTAAATGTTTTTTATTATCATTTAGGTGTAATGCCTGATCATCATTCAACGAAGATTTTGACCAAAGCTGCAGGCGGCCCTGAAGCACAATCTGATGAAGAGTAATGGCCAATCAAACATATCTATAGAAGAAGAGATACAATCTCAGTAAGGCGTTGGGCTTCTTTTCTGATTTTTTTTTTCTTTTTGAATATTTCATATTTGTATTGTGGCTCGTTGCATGTACAGTATATATTGGTTACAATATCATAAAATCAGCATTTCTATCATTGAGAACATGCTTCTCTAATTGAAAATAATTAGTTGCTCCATATAACAGTTGGATTTGTATTAGTTATGACGACCAACGATCAGGCTTAGCAGAAAAACTTTAGTGGTGATTGTGTGATATTACTATCTTAGCATTTAGAATTAATTAATATAAATTAGAATCATTTGCACAAAGAAATAAGCACCGCAATTTCTTAACTTTATTTTAGGTAAAAATTAGTTTAAGAATAGAAAATAAATTCAAGCCATTTGCAATGATAATATAAAATTTGTCTATAATATGAAATTTCATAAGAAATTTAAGAATAAATAGAATATTCTTACAATGATGAGAAACAACTCACATATTGAAAATGGAAAATGATATGCATTGAAATACATAAAATTACGATCTTGCGCACGAAAGTAACTGAAAGAAATTTTTTATTTGAAGATTCAACGTTCATGCATCCAATTATTCATAAGTGAGTTTGAAAAAAAAAAATTATTGAATGTTTTATTAAAAATGAATGTCTTAGTGGTTCTTCTGTACCCCAGGTTTATAGGGTTTCTCTTTATGTGTAAACTATAAATTATTTCGTGTGGTCATCGGACGGCATCCGGCATCCAGAGGTGAAACAAAAAGTGCCATGTCATTTTTTTGTTGTGTACAGGTGTTGTGCATCATTATGTACCAGGTGATATGATGAATCTTGATTCGCCTCTGGATCGTCTAGTAACTGCACAGAAGAATTTCTCCATGTAAACATCAATACAAAAGTAATAAAGCATGTGAATCTGGAACAATTATTAGGTCAGGACACCTGACGTAGCTCTACATCCAGACACCAATAACATGTCGCCACGTGCTCTTAATTTTTACTGCTCGGCCCGACGACCCGACCCGAAACGAACCTGGTATTGCTATGTTCGTGTATTGCTAGGTATTGCTCAATATTGCTAGATATTGTTTGACAATAACGAGAAATATCGCTTTGTCAAGACCAATACCGAGCAATACCGAACAATACCTAGTAAAACTGGGGTATTGCTCGGTATTGCTAGGTATTGGACTTAAGAGTGATATTTCTCATTATTGCCGACCAATACCGAGCGATACCGAGCAATACTCCGGTTTGCACAAATCAGCCAATACATAGCAATATCGGGTCGGGGTCGTCGGGCCGCGCGGTAAAGAGTAAAAGCACGTGGCGATATATTATTGACGTCCGGATGTAGAGCTACGTCAGGTGTCCGGACCAAATAAAAGTTCGTGAATTTGACAATCAACAATTCTAAACAAGATTAGGCTAAATTGAGAGAGAGAGAGAGAGAGAGAGAGAGAGAGAGAGATTTCTACATGGCAGTTGGCAGCAAGGCAAGACCCAATATTTTTTAAGGGGAAATGCTCTTATTGCCTAATTTGACAATGATTGTTAAGCCTAATTTGATTATTATTGTTAACTTCACAGAAGCTAACAATCATTATCAAATTATTAGTAAAGTCTGTCAATAATACTTACAACGTTTCAGAATATTAATAGAAACTATCATATGAACTGCAAACACATCACCTTTGTCACCACCAAACCTTTTTATATTATGTTTTAACTACAACACAATTTCAACCATCTCTTACAAATTGCAAAATGCATGAAATGATGAAAACTTGTAATGCGACAAACAAAAGATAGCTAAATAAATTAATGACTATTTATTGCACAAATGCAACTCAACATGCAACACATTAAATCTTAATAGTTTATAAAAATAAAAAATAAAAAAAAACATTTTAAAATAAACAAAAAATAAATTTACAACTGGAGAGTGCTAAAATATGAAATAATTCTTCTTTCCCTCAAGAATAAGCAAGCATCCTTGCTTTAAAAAATTAAAAACAAAACATGAAGGGAAGTGACGTTCAATGGGTTCCTTTGCTTCTTCGTTCTTCACGATCTCAATCCTCCTTTGTTCACCCAAGAAACAGAGCTATCGACAGAATTTGAACATCATAACCTCAGCTACTTTGAAAATTCTAATCTTTACAATCTGTAGATTTCTCTTAACTTGCTGAATGGTTCCTGAAATCTTATGCAACCATGAAATTAGGCCGCAGTAAATCATCAGAAGTTAAGTCTGTAAAAAACACTGCAAGTAGTTCCATATAAATTATAGCAGTTAAGACATAAATTGTACACTTTAGTATTATATTCTTATAAATTATGTGATGAATTATAATAATCATTCTCTACTAAAAGAAATTCCTTATAAAATATTTTGGCCCGTCCTCCTTCCATCAAGTATTATGTTGGACGTAACAAATTCTGGAACTGACAATATGATAGCATAATGGTCTTAGTTTCTTACAACAACCAGCCAGTTTTGCTTTGAAAAGAAACATCCGTTTTAGGGGCTATTTGGTTTGAAATAAAATGGATGTAAAGTGAACTTTTTACATGAGTTTTGAAATTGATGTTGTTTGATCGGATGAAAAAGAATGCAGAGTAGAGTAAAAGGAATGTGGCATAAAGTATTTTAATTCATTTTTGAGATGAAATAAATCGTCTAAATTTTGAGTGGAAATTGTTTTCACCGCAATCTCTTGCCAATGCATGCCGCTAGCCACTGGCAACCGCCACTCCCACCACTGCTGCCACCCACCGGCCACCAATGCCAGCCATTGATCACAATTGCCCACCTTCGCCACCATCGCCGCTGGCTGCCACCACCTTCGCCACCATCGCCGCTACACTATTGTCCACCATCGACACTATCTTTAGACTTTACACAACTTTTATTTTACACTAAACCAAATAAAAAAATATTCACCTGTATTTACTTTACACATCCAAATAACATCAAAATATTTTTTTATACTGCATTCCTTTTTCAGCTAACCAAACATTTCCTTTAATGTTTCAAAAGTCAAACACATTATTTCCATAACTGGCATTGCGGGAGCTTTTCAATGGCGAGGCAAAAAAAGTTATTTTCATAAAGAAGCTGAACTGATTCAACGGGAAAAAAAAATTGTTTTTTACATTTTTTTTTCTTTTTTAAAGGGAGCATGCACAACAGTTCAGAGAAAGCAATTTGGTTATGCTGGTGATCCAAAGTTTTAATATTTTCTACTAAAACCCATATAAGCAATCGGATTCAATTACATATATGAAGATTGAGCTCAAATCCTGCATTCTAATTGGTCCAATCAATGTCTTATTGAACATTTGTCAGAAGGGGTCCAGTCAAACAATAAAAACAGACATAATTAAAAACTACCAAAAAAAAATCATGTTAAACTTACGAGAGAGATTGAAGAAAAACTTCAATTCAATATAGTCCCATCATTCTCAGCTCCATAACATCACTGGGATCCAGCTCTGGTAGATCCTTATTTTCATCTCGGTTTTCTACCACATATTCCTGTGCATTAACAAGAATACCATAAAGCGTTGCTATATTAATGCAACAACAGCTCTAAATATACAAAAAGAAAAGAAAACAACACATAGTAGTTCCTGAGATATAATTTTTCCATAAAAATTACGACTAGTTGTCTTATTTTGAATGATTTACATGCCTTTAACGAGCTAAAAACTGTGAAATGATTCATTCATGGTCCAGAAGCAAGGATTAACAAAAGGTAAATCAACTATAGTGTATTCTTTTAACAGTTTCACATTCTCAAAGATTAATGGTCCTCAACGAATGATTCCTTAAGAAGAATTAAAACTTTCAATCTAACCACAATAAAATTCAAGAAACATCAATTATTTCAAAGCCTTACAAGTAACACAATAGTTAAAAATAGACTCGCTTTAGCTACTGAATTGACAATGTCAAATCCATTTTGTGCCATCACTAATGATTGAAAGCACTCATAGTTTCATGAATAGCCCCAACCAATAAACAAATATGTGTGATTTCGTCCAATAAAAAACTTTGGGTATGGATGAGTCTCCAAGCCATCTTGAGTCGATTTCTTTCCTTTCATCAATGGTTTCTAGCAAAGCACAGGATAGGAATCATAAGATGGAACCATCAAACTCATCAAGGTAAGAAAATGTTATTCAAGTGTTGACCAATCACCGAAGTAAAAGTTGCGCTCACCTTTTGTAAGACGCTATCTTTTCATAAAATGAAGTTTAATATCTTAATTAGAATTTTTACAGCTTTCATAATTATATCCATAACACATTCAAAATAAAATGCAATATCTATGTTACCATCCTAGGATTAGATAGGGATATTTAAAATGCTAATAAAAAATATTTTTGAGAGAGATTTAAAATTTCAAGTTTTGGTTTATTTGTGAGGAAGCTAATGTTATATGAGAAAAAGTAACTTGCAATATTAAGAATGTTGCAAAATATATATATAGAGAATAATAAAAAATCTCCTAATAGCAAAAATAGTTGATGTTGAAATCAAAATGTATAAGAAAAGTAAAAACTAAGAAGTTTTATTATAAAAATTGATTTAGATTTAAAAGTTTAAAAAATTGAGAAAGATAAAGGGACCCATAAGGAGTCTAAGAAAATAACATGCGATGGAAAAAATTTAGTTCTTTTTTATTTATAATATCTTAAAAACAAGACATCTTGACACATAAGGCCTTCCACAACATCGTTTTGCATCATATTTTATATTCGTGTTGAAAGTTCCCTCTTCCATATTTTTGCTTCAATCATGGCATTTGGATCACAAACAAAAAGGAATACAACAACAACAACATCAAGCCTTTATCCCACTACGTGGGGTCGGCTACATGAATCCTTTTTCTCCATTGTGTCATATTAAAAGTCAAATTCTCATTTAAATCTAATAAAGAAAGGTCATTCCTAATATTTTCTAACCAAGTCTTTTTAGGTCTACCCCTACCTTTCTTAACACAAGTCAAATCTAAGAAAGTTGTTGACCTGTACACTAATGAAAAAAAAAAAATTCAATAAATACCTGTTCGATGCACAAACTCCGGATGTCCTACACCATCCTCCGCACCACGTTGACAAAGCTAGCGCGATCTCTGCACATTCGATGTCGCGTCTTCCACGATCTTCGCGATCTTTACCTACTCTTGCTATTAAGAGTGCAATAGACGAAACCTTTAAATGTTTTGTTTGAATCACACGAGCAATCACATGTTTTCCCTTGCCCGAGAGCCTTCTTCCCTTCCGATCAATCTCCTCAACCGAACCTTCCACGCCGTCGAAAAAGCCAATTACCCAGCTCTCTGATTGCAAACTCAATCGGCCAAGCAACAACAACCAAATCGAACAGACCTCCTACGTCTGATTCAATCCTGTTCGAACCCTTCAATTTACAAACCTCCTTGTACACTAAATTCCTCCACACATCCACTCAACCTACCTCCAACCACGACCGCAAGCTCCAATCTATCTTTGGACTTCCCTCTTATGCTCAATCACTTCCTCCCTCAGTCGAATCTCCTGTTATTGCCGAGCTCCCGTCTCCACCCTGTACCGCAAGCAGCATCAAGCTCCTGCCGCATAGCCGACCTACGAGATTCGATCAAGACACCCATTCAACACCTCTACTATGTTGAATCTTGATCCTCCACTTCAACCGAACGCATGCCACACTTCATCTCTTAGCCGTCCCTACCGTAGCTACCGATCGACCTAGCTACAGCTCCTCTACCTTGATCCTGTCCGATCAAGCAACTCGCTGACTAGATCTCTTTGCCGATCCTCCCTGCTCGAAGCCACTCGAACCCTCCTTCGATGACATTCCATTGCTAGATCGGAAGTAACGACGGGAGCTCGCTCGTTGTGAAGGTAACTTCATTTTGCACGCTTCTTTGGCCAAATCTCATAAATATGCCGAATCAAAGGAATTGGTAAATCCTGGATTTACGGCTAAAGAGGGAAACAGAGGATTTAACTGGCTGTGAGATTTAACAGTTTCCTAAATTCTGTTTAGTTAATCCCTAAATTGGGGTTTACAACAAAAGAGGGAAACAGATGATTTAACTGGCAGTGAGATTTAACACTTCCCTAAATTCTATTACAAATACTGCTCAAATACAGCATAAATCATGTATCCAAACAGAGATTTAGCATAAATCTTACTCAAATCCTGCATGAATCATGTTGCCAAATAACCCTTAAAATTTTTGAAATAAAAAATGGAGGAAAGAAAAATGTGAAAAAACTGAGAAAAATGAGAATAAAAGAGAAAGAAAAACTGAAAAAAAAAAATGAGAAAAAAGAAGAGATGTGAAAAAAAAATTTGAAGACAAAAATAATGGAAAAGATATTTTGTGATTTTTGTCGCCGTCATCTCGACATCGCCGACATTGTCACCTCGCCAATCGCCAATGTATAATCTCTCGAACTTGAAATCCTATTCTATGCAATCGCGTCGAGCCGGGGGACCCCCTATAGGCGCTTTTGTAGCACGGTAGGAGGAAATTCTGTGGGGCACTTGCGGTTAGGCGGGTAGGCCCTGTACACACTCTTGTAGTGTGGCGGGGACAACTCTAAATACCCATGTATGAGCTACAGTGCATGCGGGGAAAAAAAATTGTGTATTTTCAAACATGTACCTCGAAGACACATACACATTCTTGTAGCGGGGTGGGATTGAAGACTACGGCTGTGGTGCCGCACGACACCAATCATACACGCTCTTGTAGTGTGGTGGGATGGTTCAGCTCGCGAAATTTTCCCTAAACAAGGGAAACGTCGAGATGGTGCCGAAATTCCAAGTGACTGAGGACTTATATTTGAACATAAATGCACAGAACCTGAACAAAGCGTAGGAAATTGAACTTGAACTAAACAAGCAAGGGACTTGAATTGAATTACATGGAACTGAACCCTAAATCCTAAAATGCACAATTAACTTGAAAAATACAAATTCAAAATAAAGATTCAAGTCACTCAAATACAAATGAACAAACATCAGGGAATTTGCAACAGGTGAAACCCCAATCGTACTTGCATGCAAACAAAAATCAAGTAATTAAGAAATAGCGTTCAAATCAACAATACTTTGCAAATATGAGGGATAGACATGCATCAAACAGTCAATTGTCAGCCAGCATGCACAAAAAGAATTCAGTAGGGAATGCAGCACTGTTTGACAATCACTGCTGACATGTGGCAACTACTGCTACTGTAAACAAGTACGTTAGGCTATTTAAAGAAGATGATGGGGGATGTGACACAAGTATGGCGAATTCCCTACAAGCATACTCAAGGGCAACAAGCAATGAATGCAGCAATGCCCTACAATCAACATTAGCAACTTGCATGCAACATCAGCAGCTCATTCTTTTCTTTACAAACAATGTGGTTCCAACTACCATCACTCAAACGTCTACCTCATCTCAGTTGTGAATCGGGACCTGGAAGATATTTGACATCTCTAAAGTCAACGCCATGCCAGTTAATCAGTAGCTCTACCAAACAATCTATATGTTTTGTTGCAATCTCTATCTCCATCTCTATCTCCAATCAGGCATGCTGCATTGGGACCTCAACTCCTGACCGCTTCCAGGCTGCAATAACCATCACTGGTATGCTCAATCTTGTTGGAATAGGCCTGTATATAATGATACTCGATCTCCATAGGAATTCTTATTCTACCCCACCAAAAAAGAGTGCTCTGCACCAAAGGCAACATTTCTGTCGAGGACCCGACAACTCCAGTTCCAAAGAGGATAATACCATCACCACCAAGATGGTGCACTGAAGAACTCCTGATTCCTATGAGACTAGAAATTTCATGTCTCTTCTGAAAGTTTTTTATGCCGCTACATGATAGCTAGAAACTTCAATATATTCTTATTTTTGCTGGGAAAAAAATAAGGTCTCTCTCTATTTTACTGTTTCTATTAGCTGTTGTTCAACTAAAATAAGTTGTAATGGTTTTCTATTAGTTTCTGCATTGCCAAAAAGCAGCAACGTATTCAACTGTTTTACGGGCTATCTGATCAGCTTTTGAGTTAGACAGGTCTCAGGTTGGACTCTGACAGACCCTGATCCATCCAACATTCAACCCATTCAAAAACTAATTTGGATCAGGGTTGGCATGATCAGAACTGACCATTGACAGGCCTAACTTCAGCCACATAAATGGTTAAGATATGCAAAACATAAACTACCATAATCATAATCTACCTTTGTTAGCTCCTGCTTTGCAAGAACATGGTAATGGCGCTCATTGATCCTCTGCCCGCAGATTATGGCTATGAAGAATCCATATAGCAAACCCACCAAGATAACGGCCAAGACTAACAAGGCAAAGAGAACATAAAAGGTAAGTTCAAGTTGAAATCAGGAAAATGAAAAAATAAACCTGATGACTCTCAGGAATTGCATCACTGTTTTGTTTATCAAGTGAAATGAACCAAGAAAACATGAATTACTATCAAGAACATGATATAAATATTTTCCCTAAAGCCAGGTTAGCACTTGGCAACATGGCCATGAAATAAAGATCATCAGAAAAAAGTATACAAGTTAAACAGTAAACACGCCATGGTAAATATCTTGCTTTCATTAAAGTATCCCAAATAACTGAGGAAAGACAACTTGATAAAATAATAAATCATAGGTTTCTAGAGGATACGATGGTGAACGTAATGAACTGAGGTGTACTACACTATACAACATTATGCATTCTTGCATAGCTATGCTTGATTCCTACGCAATCAGATGGTATCACTCTACTTGCATAAAGTAGAATTCAACTTCCTAGACATAAATCCTAACCTCTACCTATTCCCTAATATCCGTAAGAGACTGTCTCAATATAGAAGTGCAAAAAACTGATATTTTTTTTCTAACGTTCACCGATTGCCAAGTTAAGTGTTGCAGAGATGAGGATGCTTAGATGGATCGTTTGCAATTGTTTCTCCTATTTTCTCTACGATTCTTCTCAGATTTTTCCACTGTTTTTGTGCTTGGTGGCTGTTTTCCATAGAAAACAGCGGATTATTAGTGATTTGGCTTAGATCCGATAGGAATCACTTGAAATACTCAAGTGGTACCTATCATATACATCCTAAAGATAAAAAGAAGATTAAAAAAAGCTGCAATTTCAAGCAAAATGCCGCAGCTGCATCATGCTGATGAATTATTTATTCAAAGTTATAAATATTAAGTGTATGAAAAATGCAAAGCTTTGATATCATAAAAACCTACACTTGCCTCAAGCATGAATGGGGTCAAGTTAAAATAAAAAATGTGAAGCAGCATAACTTAATCACTAGTGAATATTCATAAACGGAAAAAAATCAAAAACTCTAAATTATTTGAGAGGGCGGTCTGGAGTAGTATTTAGGTTGTACTTATTGTGATATGTAATTCATGGGCTTGAGCCATGAAGATAGTCACATTGCAAATGTAGGGATGAGGTTGCATTATTAACCTTTCCGTAGACATAACATTCGGAGGAGCTTCATGCATTGCATGTAACCTTTTTTACAACCAACTTCTGATGAGGACATCGGAGATCAACGTCTACGATTTTTTTAGTTATTTATTTATATGTTTTTGTACTAGTTTATTTTATATTGTTGTTTTTCCCTTTATACCTTTATGGGTGGTCATGTAGTGTTGTAGCCCGAAGGGCATTTTAGTCTTTATTATTTTTCTTTTCATGAGGCCTATTTATAGGCTAGCTTTCTTGTATTAAGGGATGATGATTTTGAAATGAAATTCTTCTCTTTGTGTTCTCTTTGTGAGTTCATATTTTTTTGATCTCTTGGTGAATTCAAATTTTCCTAGATCTCTGTGTGAGTTCTAGGGAAAGCCCAAGGTAAGGGCAAAAGCAATACACGCCAGTCGTTGGAAGCGTCCTCGACTCGTGGTTTATTTTATCTTATTATTTTCTTCTCCAACTCTTGTTTTCCTCCTCCCCACACCAAGCCCTACCCGAGATCCTATCATCCACCGCTTTATCCACTAGCTTCCTCCACTACAACCCAAGCTCCATCAAGAAACCCCAACCCGACGGCAAGTCCCTCTTCCTCCTATGGCCGCCGGCCACCACCTTGCCCCAAAGCCATGATGAAGATGTCAATCATCATAATGGCTCCTTGATTGAGGTCCCGCATTAAATGCATGAGTTATTGAATTTTGAATTTCAAATTTAAAAACTTTCTTTATTTGCAAACTTCCAAATATGGAAGTTTTTCGAATTCAAAATTCGAACGGAATCTAATTGAACGACTCATTATTTTCCCCCCATAAGTTTCAAACTCATTTGGAAAGAAATTACTCTCCCTAATCACTCCTCTCCCTCTCACAATGCCGCCGGCCCTATGAGGGTGAAATTCCCTTTAATGCTCCATTTATGCATTCAAGGCTCTTGAATCCAAATTTCAAATTTAATCCCCTCCAAATCCCTCATGGATTTTGAATTTTAAAATTCCCCATTCAATTCCCAATTAATGCGTTGATTACAATTTAATTTGAAATCAAATTTCAAATTGATTTCCCCCTAAAACCTCTCAAATTCTGAATTTAATTTCAGGATTAGCATTTATTCCCCCTCCCTCTCTCTTGAAACCGCCGGCCACACCTTAATGGGCTTCAATTGATGGGCCCTGACTTCTCTAGGACAGAGTTTGACTCATTCCCTGCTGCTGGCCGAAATTTTCAAAGCCCCTCTCCCTAATTTTCTTCCACTAACCCTTCTCCAAACCCAATCCAACGTGGAGTTCTCTTCCTCCTAAGACTGCAGCTTGAAATTCAGCCGATTTCCTTGCTCCCTCAGCCCATGGAAGACCCATAGTTGCTGTTTTGGGAAGACGGAACTACTGCCCACAAATCCTGGCTGCTGCCCAATGGTATCCAGAAGAATTCCAGCAAGGGAAACTGAAATTCCTACCTCCTAAAACCTTCCAACTGCTGGACGCTCTTCTACAACTTGCTGTCCACTGATTCTACAAATCTCCTAGCACCATAGCTTCATCCAGAAGGTTCCAAATGATGTCCAGAATCTGTCCAAAACAAAAACTGCTGCTGTCTTGAAGATCCACATCTTATCGTGGCTAATCGGTGGTGCGAAGAAGCTGATGGTGGCTGTCCTAGTCGCCCCCCAACACTCAAATCATCCTGCAGGAGTGTGTATCTCTCTTGACTGGGGGTAAACTCTTATTCCAAACTCTCTTATCTTCCTAGTTTACTTTTCGTTTATGGTTATTAATGGATTCATGAAGATCATGCTAATTATTCGCCGCTAGAACCTAGTAATATGAAGAGTTGTGTGAGGGATCTTTTCATAGCAACTAATCTTATTATTAGTATTGGAATTTCTCGTTGAAACCACTCATGTATGCAAAGTAAGACTTAGTTGACTATTTAATTATCTCAACCTCTCGCATGTGTTTAGACCTAAGCTATTTTATCACCTTATCATTTTTATTTTGTCGTTTATCATCAAGAGAAAGCTTATAATTATTGTGCTCTAAAATTTAAGCATGCAAACTTCCTAATATTTAATCATCCATTCTTGTACGTTTCACATCAACTTCAGAATTTAGGCCTCAAGCTGAGCAACAAATGAAGGAAAAAAAGAGAAGGAAACCTAGTATATGGAGTGAAGAAATAAAATTAGGATGGTTTAAGAACCATACATGTTGAACAATGAGAAAATCAAGATACGGAAGAAGGTAAAATGGGTTAAACAACATCACATTAATAAAATGAAAAAGAAAATATGTGTCACATCGAATGTATGACCGCACATACTATCGAGTTGGGGCTCAAATGACATAAGTATGCTATCGCCTCTCACACTCACAAGCATAACGCATGCACATTTAGAGACTAGACAAAGACAACACTCTACCATTCATGTATTCTTCATCTTTAAATCATTATATTTGGGAGAGAAGTAAAAAAAGAATATTATATCTACTTTTGTAGAATATGTTCAAGAGTCAACAAACCTTCTCACAAAATTTCCTAACAATATGTCCCATCAAAACTTCTAATTGTCATCACTAATACACTCATGCATCATTGCCCACAACATGGTATGTTTAAATCTACTATCTGAGACATATTGATAACAATTTGCAATCTAGACATTCTTAATGTCGTTAGCATCCATCAACTGCCGGGTTTGAGTGACTTAGTTGGGCTAGCCATCATCCAATCAAATTTTGATGGTGAAAGATTTAGCATCCATTATTCATAAACACACAGAATATTTGATAAAGATCAAAAGAACCTCTAGAAATTAATGAATAAGTCTCATTTTTAGCTTATTCGTTAAGTTTTACCATATGACTCAAAGATTTAGAGAATACTCCTCGCCTCTGATGATGTTGTTAATGAATCCATCAGTGATCATCTTACCCGTTGCAACATTAACGCTAGATGTGCCACCTAAGAATGCTTATAGGAAATAACAATCTCTTTATTGACAATGCTTGTTGCTCCTATTGTCGATTGTTGTTGTGCACAAAGACAACTACAATAAATGCATCACTCACAAATGCCCACTGACAACAATTAAGCAACCAGTTTAATTCCCTCAACACATACCTTGTCATATAGAACTTGTTATAATAACTGATGATGAATGCGTCACTCATCACAACTAGATGGCATTTAAAACCATAATATTTCTTGCTAATACTACCAATATGTTATTTAACTTAGGCGGTCTCGGTACCAACTTTCTCCATTTTGACAACGTAAAAGGCAACCATGTACATTAGTCCCTTCTAACCATTCAGAGGTAGACCATCCTTACACAAATTTTTACAAATAATGGATCTTTATTATCTACCAAAGCGCATAGATTTTTATCCTTCAAGATTTTCATGTAAAAAGCATTTTCTCAAGTATCTGAATGCTTGGATTTTCTAAGCTAATATAAAATGAAACCCTAGCATTCTTCTAGGCTAAACAAATATCTTTCAGCATGTAAATAGGTACTTATAAAGAAGGGTGGAAGATGCACCAATAAGACGAGTATATAAAATCAATATGGAAGAATAAGAAAAAATAGCGATAAATCAAATGTTACATGATTTGGAGTTGGGTAAAATAGAGTTAACACCATATGCGACATTTAATAAGAATGAATGAAGATTGAGGCTTCATAAAGACAATTCAAATTAGTTTGTAAGGGGTAAAATATGATGTGAACACCAAAGAAGATGTGATTAAGACATTTAAGGCTTCAATTTTAACTAACAATACAAGAACACTTAAAGCTTCAATTTCAAATAACAATACAAGAACAATTAATTTGAGGCATATGATTTCAAAGAAATACTACGAGAAGAAAACATAAAAGAGAAAATAAATAAGCAAGAAAATATTAAGACAATTTTCTCAATATATTTATCACAAAAAGCATGGTATAGCCATGCCGATAACTGTGAAAACTACACATGACATCTCTGAAGATAAGGAAGAAACAAGGGACAACAACAAAAACATCAAGCCTTTTATCCCACTACGTGCAGTTGGCTACATGAATCATTTTCTCTATTGTGTCCTGTTATGTCAAATTCTCATTTAAATCTAATAAATAAGGTCATTTCTAATATTTTCTAACCAAGTATTTTTAGGTTTACCTCTGCCTTTCTTAACATAAGCAAAATCTAATACATCTACTCTCCTAACCGGGTCATCGGAAGGCCGCCATTTTATGTGACCAAACCATCTAAGGCGACTCTCTCTAAACTTATCTTCCACGAGAGCTAATCCAACCTTTTCACATATATGCTAATTTCGCATCATGTATCTAAGAGTAAAGCCACTCATCCACCTAAGCATCCTATCTCATATAATAAAACCTAAGCAACATCTTCATATTGCCACTTAGTTTTGAAAAGAAAACTCCAATGTCTGGCAGTTTATAATGACTCCACAAATTTTGAATACGGGCTAGTTAAAGTTACATCATGGTAAACTTATAACTCTACCTCAAAGAGAAATAAAACATGAATGATTTCTTTTGTACGTCCAGGTGCGCACATGCGGAGCACAAATAGAATACTCACAACCACATCCATACAGAAAGGATGTTTGGCGAAGTGTGTGGCAGAGAAAAGGGAGATATATGAAAAAAAAAAAGATTGTTTACTTAAAAGGAGGGAGACATACTTGCCATGGTATAAAACCCATATGGGTGTTCCTCATAGCCAAACATTTCCCTTAGCTCATCACCATAGAATCTGTAAACTAGCATACCGAAAAAAGCCACAACCTGCTTGTATTGCATTAAAATGCTAAGATTCCAAAAAATACAGAAAATAGCACGATGAGATAAATAATGCATGTTTGAACGATAATAAGGAGCTGTTGCCAAAATGATAACATTAAAAAGTAAATATATATTTAGCAAGGAATATGGTAAAATCTGTTGAAAAGTATAATGGATCATATGCAGCATATACATAACCAGAAACAGAAATCGTGTATCTTTACTTATCCAATTAACACCACTTGCTTACTGAACAACATTGTCCCATATGATAGATATTAAATTTTGAAAGTGTTAAAAGAATATTTTACCCATGTTTTAAATTAACAGCACAAGCTATCACCTAACCATGTAAACTCCAAGAGAACAATATGAGTGCTGACCAGAATGATCATACCAGCTGCACGATAACAAATATGAGTGTGTGGTCCCTCAAAACAAGGAGCTGAAACTTAATTCTCAACCACCAGCGATCAGGGGGCACATTTGCACGCAAGATAAACACAGCCTTACACTCCGTACAATGTGAAAATGCAAACCCTTCCTGAAGAAAAAAAATAAGAGAATTTTTTTTTAATAAGTAAGAGAAATTTAAGAACCCTTTCATATAAATAAAATCTAAATACTTCACTCTAACCTTGGTTGATCTCCAATTGTCAAGACATGACCGATGCACATACTTCTGTGTGCCTTTGCAATGACATGGTGCAATCAAATCCTCACCTAAACATATAGAAACTATTTCAGTTGTCATTCAACCTCAGAGGCTCAGACTTCTTTAATGAGCCATAAGTAGCTACACTTTGTACTGCAATTTTTCACTTAATACAAAGTAAATTCCATGGAAACTTAATATACCGACTATGTTAAGTAAGGACCTCCGATTTCAAGGCAAATTCGGCATTGTGGTTGTTCTGTAGCCACCAGCCTAGAGATTTCATCAGCTTCAAGATTCTCATAATCACCATCACCCGCTGATCTAATTTCAGATGAAGACTCAGACTCCTCAGAACCATCCTTGAAAGTTGATGGACACAAAATAGGATCAATTTCTGATGCATCTGATGACTGATTTCTACAAGGCACCAACTCCATTGAGAAGAATGTAAAATCATATCCGACAATCACCAAAGAGATTGATTGTGCCAATCATCAAAAAAATGAAATGCCCCTGTAAAATATAGATGTAGTAGTCAAGAACCATATCCAATAATTTTATAATTTCTTTTTAATCTAATGCATTAAAAGTGTAAACAACTTCTTCATCATCCCCTTTTGTCCTTGTCAAACCAACCACACATTACAAATCTCTGCTTTTGTAAGCAAAGTAGAAAAACTCCTACTTTCTCCTTCTCTTCTTCCTCACTTTTAGCAATCATTGCAGGGTAAAGCGTTGGAGGCAATGGATGCTAAAATAAGGATTATTTTTCTGGTTAACCTAGCCAAAATCATGGATTACACCGATGAGGTGTTGCTCCCGGTTGTGCAAAGGAGTTATATGGCTGCCGATGTCCACACAAGATTTATAAATATTGGATTTAGCAAATAATATGAGTAAAATAGGATTATAGATGTTAGAGGATTCAAGGATGCCACCAAAAAAAAAAAAAAACATTTACCAAGATTTAAGCTAGTTCTTGTTAAATCCCACCTAAATCATGCTACTAAATAGCCACTGCATTTAATAACCAGTAGAGACTGATTTACCAAACTTGCATATTATGGAAATAATAAAAATGAACATTGAATTACATGCAGCTTATCTTAATCTATTTGTTGGAAGCTTTGGCTATCAATCAAGAGGTCTAGGTTCGAATCTTGCTTTTGTGATGTGTGATGTGTATATGAGTTTGACTTAATTGGCCTTAATGTTACATAAATATATATACTCAAATTCTCCAATGACATTGTCGAGCTCCCGTGTTTAGTATTTTCTCAAGGGATATATACATCAGTCGAACCTTTCATTCAATAAAAAGATTGAATTCATTCGTAGAGTAATTCCACTATCCAATGACTCCAAAAATAGGTACTTACAAACAACAAAAAATAAAGAAAAAAATTGCATACGAGACCTAACACCCAATCCCTCGCCCATCAAAACGAAACGAATGCAGGCAAGCACGAGCTGAGCATAAAAGTATACTGAACGACCAAACGCCGCAATAGAGAAACAGCAACATTCAGATCATAGGAGCTACAGAGTGAAAAATAAGAAGCAAACAGATCCGGAGGGAAAGAACTTGGCCAGATCCGCAGCTCACCTCTTCCTTGGGACAACACCGAAGCATCCAAGAATCCCCGTGTAAGCGCTAGGGTGTGTCTTCTTCTATCATAGAAATAGAAAAGTCGCCATGGGCAAGCAAACGAGTCCAACCGAACGAGTTGGAGCGGAGGGAGATGACGGGAGAGGTAGGAAGCCGGAGGGAGAAGACTTAACTGCATAGATGGAGGAATTATAATTAAGAAGTTAGGGGAATCTAATTAGACAAGGACTAATTAGACAAAAATGATCTCTAATGTGCCTGATGAACGACAAGATTAATTTGATTTTTTTTTTTTAATTGAGAAGTAATGATAAGATTAATTAAATAAAAAAGGATAAGTAAATTTTATTAAGAGTGATTTATGTTACTAGTTTCTAGATTTTTCACCCAAAAGCATGTTGCTAGATTTTTTTTTTTAGCATTTTTAAAGGGTTGAGCCATATTGGCATGGGTAAAACTCCATTGAGCTTGGGTTAGGGTTCAAGTGGGTCCAACCACCTTGGAGTTGAGCTAGTAATTGTCTGTCTAGTGCAACTAGCAAAGATGATCCGGGGGTTCATTTAGTTAAATAAATATTAATTTGGCTTAGTTTTTATTAGGTCCTATTAGATTAATATGTGTTTCCTTTGGTCAAATACTTTAGAGCGAATTAGAGTCCTCATGTAAGTACACACGGTCAACTAGAGTCAAGTCAAGGTGAGCTTAAGGGCAATTTGATCAAATGAGTTTAGGTCTATTTTGGCCAATTATGTTAAATTTGGGTCAACTAAGGTTTAACAACCTAAAAATTGGTTGTTCATCTAGGGTCTATGGAGTGTAATAAAAGTCTAGGATGAGTCAATTTATATTTTAGAGATATATGAGGTCCAATATAAACCAAAATTGGTTAATTTATATTGGTTCATCTTCAAGAATAAGTTTGTTAGGTTCTCAAGAGCTCTAGCTTATGTCAACCTAGTGTGAGGGGCTATCAAGTCTATATAGGAAAGCTTTGGTCACCATAAGGTTGGATTGGGTCCAACAAATGATCTAGGGTCTATCAAATGTTAATTTGATCAATTTAAGATTAATTGATCAAATAAATCACGTTACAACTCAAATAAATTAAAGTTCATTAAATGGATTATAAGATAAGAGCTTAGGCTCACTAGACCAAATTAGGATAAATTAAATCAATCGATTAAATCATATAAGGTCTAATTAGGGTGGATCGAGGATTGGTTCTAAGATTACATCAATAGTGAGGTCAAAAGGGTCACTTTTGGTCAACATAAGTTGATACAAGGTTAAATGGATTGAAGGTCCTTATCTAAGCAAAATGGCTACCTATGGTCAATTGAAACTTGAGGGAGATTAATGAAGATTTGGGTTAATTAAAGGAGAGTTAGGATGAATTTAGGTTACGAAGGTCATGGGCTAATTAGGCTAAATAACTTGACCAATTATGATCTACTGAACTTTTTTAGGTTTCAGCTATAGCCAATCATAAATGCACATAGGGTATATTAAGGATTAAGAGATCAAGAAAATATACCTGTGCTTTTTGACTTGCGTTTTGTCTGCGCTTTACCTGCGCTTTTGCCTGCACTTTGTCTGTGCTTTACCAACGCTTTGATGCGCTTAATTTAAAATAATATTTTATTAATATCTGAACCTATCTCCTTGTCCGGTGACCGGATGCAATAATTTGCCCATGGGATGAGCTTCAATTGGGTCCCTTTAGGGGCAATCAAAGGGTTGAGCCATATTGGCATGGGTTAAACTCCAGTGAGCTTGGGTTAGGGTTCAAGTAGGTCCAACCACCTTGGAGTTGAGCTAGTAATTGTCTGTCTAGTGCAACTAGCAAAGATGATCCGAGGGTTCATTTAGTTTAAAAAATATTAATTTGGCCTAGTTTTTATTAGATCATATTATGTTAATATGAGTTTCCTTTGGTCAAATACTTAGAGCCAATTAGGGTCCTCATATAAGCACACATGGTCAATTAGAGTCAAGTCAAGGTGAGCTTAAAGGCAATTTGATCAAATGAGGTTAGGTCTATTTTGGCCAATTATGTGAAATTTGGGTTAACTAAGGTTTAAGAACCTAAAAATGGGTTGTTCAACTAGGGTCTATGGAGTGTAATGAAAGTCTAGGATGAATCAATTTATGTGTTATAGATATATGGGGTCCAATATAAATCGAACTTGATTAATTTACATTGGTTCATTTTCCCGGAGGGAGAAGACTTAACTGCATAGATGGAGGAATTATAATTAAGAAGTTAGGGGAATCTAATTAGACAAGGACTAATTAGACAAAAATGATCTCTAATGTGCCTGATGAACGACAAGATTAATTTGATTTTTTTTTTAATTGAGAAGTAATGATAAGATTAATTAAATAAAAAAGGATAAGAAAATTTTATTAAGAGTGATTTATGTTACTAGTTTCTAGATTTTTCACCCAAAAGCATGTTGCTAGATTTTTTTTTTAGCATTTTTTAAGGGTATTATATCACCCAAAAAAAATAAAAAAAAATAATGAAAAAAAGGGTATTATATCACCCAAAATTTTTTTTTTTTTTAAGCATGTTGCTAGATTAAGGCTTCATTTGAGACGACCTTCTTACTACTTCCTGAAGTAAATTTTTAGTAAAAAATTAAAATTTTTTAACTAGAAAATTGTTTTAAGAAGCAATAAGAAAGTCATGATGACTTTTTTTATTGTTTTTAAAACAAATTTTTGTACTAAAATTATATTTTAAAGAATAATAAAAAATTCATCTCAAACGAAGCCTAAAATAAATAGATAAATAGTAAATTAGAAATAAGGTTTGTCAAATTGTCTGGGATATTAAGAAGGATGCTCAATTGCTAGAATATAAGTTGCCTAAGTCTTTTATTGACTAGGCTATTTTTGGCCATGAGTAAGTTAGAAAGGAATGCTAGCAAGTTCAAAGGAGTGGTTAGGACCAATGGAGTGGCTCAATTAACTTTTAGGATGCATGGGATGAGCCATATTGGCATGGGTTAGGGTTCAAGTGAGTCCAACCACCTTGGAGTTGAGCTAGTAACTGTCTGTCTAGTGCAAATAGCAAAGATGATCCGAGGGTTCATTTAGTTTAAAAAATATTAATTTGGCTTAGTTTTTATTAGGTCGTATTATGTTAATATGACTTTCCTTTGGTCAAATACTTTAGAGCCAATTAGGGTCCTCATATAAGCACACATGGTCAATTAGAGTCAAGTCAAGGTTAGCTTAAAGGCAATTTGATCAAATGAGGTTAGGTCTATTTTGGCCAATTATGGGAAATTCGGGTCAACTAAGGTTTAAGAACCTAAAAATGGGTTGTTCATCTACGGTCTATGGAGTGTAATGAAAGTCTAGGATGAATCAATTTGTGTTATAGATATATGGGGTCCAATATAAATCGAACTTGATTAATTTACATTGGTTCATTTTCAATAATAAGTTTGTTAGGTTCTAGTGTGAGGGGCTATCAAGTCTATCTAGGAAAGCTTTGGTCACCATGCGTTTGACTTGGGTCCAACAAACGATCTAGGGTCTATCAAAGCTTATTTGATCAATATAAGCTTAATTGATCAAATTAGTCACATTACGACTCAAATAAGTTAAAGTTCATTAAATAGATTATAAGATAAGAGCTTAGGCTCACTAGAGCAAATTACGATAAATTAAATCAATCGATTAAACCATATAAGGTCTAACTAGGGTGGATGAATGATTGGTTCTAAGATTGCATCAATAGTGAGGTCGAAAGGGTCACTTTTGGTCAACATAATTTGATACAAGGTTAAATGGATTGAAGGTCCTTATCTAAGCAAACTTGGTTACCTATGGTCAATTGAAACTAGAGGGAGATTAATGAAGATTTGGGTAAATTAAAGGAGACTTAGGATGAATTTAGGTTACGAAGGTCAATAGGCTAATTAGGCTAAATAACTTGACCAATTATGATCTACTGAACTTTTTTAGGTTTCATCTATAGCCAAACATAAATGCACATAGGGTATATTAAGGATTAAGAGATCAAGTCTCAAATCAATAGAAATCAAGTTATAAGATTATCTACCTCATGTCTAAATTAAAGTAGTCTAAGCTTTCGGTAATCAAGAGACATGTTAGGGCTTGAGCATGTCTAAACACTAGTATTATGTGTATGTACCCAACCCTTATTAACTTATTTTTTTTATTTTGACTATGTTAAATTATGACAAGTCATTTATAGGTGATGTCTTAGTTAACAATTGCTTGATCTTCATTACAATCAAATTAACTTTTAATATACCATTACTTAAATGCCTAACTACAAGCGAGTTAGGTCACTTATACAAAATGTCTCGTTAACAAGATCAATGAATAATATAAAAATACTATCTACGTTATCTCGATATTTATTTGCCAATATAATTTGAACGTCGGCAAGATTGTATTAAGCAATATAAAAATTCTATTTGCATTATCTCTATCTTTATTTGTTAATATAATTTTATCACTAGGTTTTATGTGACAAACAAACTGTGAACAAGTTATTTAAGATATTGGAATGCCATCAAACTTATAATTGGGCCAAATATCCCACAATCAAGAAGACATTACTATGAAAATTATATATGTACAATAGCAACATCAAGTCTTTACCCCTTTACGTGGGGTGTCGGTTACATGAATCTTTTCTCCATTGTATTCTATTAAGAGCCATGAAAATTATATTTGTAAAAAGAAAAAAAATTGTTTGGGAATATCCTTTATATAAATTGATATAAAATGGATTAGGAATGACTTGGAAGTCATTCAATTTGCTTTGAAATTAGTGTTATATGTGAAGAGTTCATATTACGCTAATTTAAAGTCAATGACTTACAAGCATATTTTGATATAATTTGTATTAGATTATCTTAACATAATTTTAAAATCCACTCACAATAGCGCAAATGGATAGATGGCCTATTTATGAAGCTCTATCGTCTTTTGTGGTTCTTTGAATAGTATATATATAGAGAGTAAAAGTGAGGGCCATGTCCAACCAATTTCATTAAACAAAAAGATAATTACATGTCAATACTATGCAATATGACTATAAAGATTAGAAAAAAGATCAAGTAGCATGTTATCAAAAACTATATCAGATAAGAAAAGACATAATCAAAACTAAAATTTCCATGAGTAAAATAGAAACTGATAAATATGAACTCCATCCAAATTGGAGGAATAAGGTTGAATAGAAAAGAATGCATAATAAAGCCAATTCATAAGGGCTTCAAGCTCTTGAGTTTATATTTAGAGGGAAAAGAGGGCGACACTAAGAAGAATAGAAGATAGGAAAAGATGTAGGTGTATAAATTTAGTAATTGTTGCATCATGGAATATTCACGGCAATAGAGAAATATGAAGTTTAACGTCTTAACTTTGTACGAAGATACAACACACAATCATATAAAGGAGAAGGGTGTAACGTTCATAGGATACAACAGAGTTTTTACGTGGAAATCCTTAAAAAGAGGAAAAAATCATGGGGCTTGGCCCAAATTGAATGAATCTATTAGTATTTGCAGTCGATTACAAATGAGGTCCTTCGTTAGGGGGAAGGCAAATATACATCATATAGAGAGCATTACATGGTGGGAATTTGAAAAATTAGTATTGACATGTTTGTTTAGTCAGCAAGACATAGTTGGTAAGTGCGGTGGTCGAATAGATTGTTGTCAGGCGACGGAGGTTAGAAGGATAATAGTGGGCAGACGACGGATGTCGGAAAGACCATAGTCTAGCGATGGAGGTCGAAAGGATCGTAGTCGAAAGGTTATGGAGGTCAGAAGGACCGTTATCTAGCGATGGAGGTCGAAGTCGAAAAGACCATAGTCTGGAGACTAAAGTTGGAAGGACCGTAGTCGGCCGGCAACAGATATCGGAAAGACCTAGTCTGGTAACAGAGGTTGGAATGACCATTATCTAGAGACAGAGGTCCAAAGGGTTGCATTTGGCGGGCAACAAAGGTCAAAAAGACTATAGTCTGGCAACGGAGGTGGAAAGGACCGTAGTCGGCAGGCAACGGAGGTCAAAAGGACCATTATCTGGCAAAAAAGGTCTGAAGGATAGTAGTTGGCAAGCAACATAGGTGAAAAGGATCGTTATCTGACAAAGGAGGTCGGAAAGACCGTAGTCGATAGACAGTTATTGGGAGAAAATCTGATAATTTCGGGTGGCTGGGGTGCAAAATCCGGCAATAGTTGGTGATCGGGTGGAAGTCCGACTATTGTTGGTGGCCGGGCATAAATCGAGCAATAGTTGGTGGTTGGGCGAAAGTTTGGCGACAATCGGTTGTCTGGCGTATGTCCAGCGACAGTCGGCGCCAAGGCGGTGGTCAAGGAGTTTGGTGGCAAGAGAGATCTCAAATTTATCTTCCTCTCCTCTGTTCTTTCTCTTCCTTACTTTCCTACTTCCTCCTTCCTTGCTTCCTTCCCTCTCATGTGAAGAATGAGGGGCTATTTGTAGTTTTTTAGAAATGACATTGCCAGTAAGTACGGAGGAGATCAAGGGCATGTTGGGAGTGTTTTGAATGGACATCCGATATCGACTCCCTTGATTGTGGACAATTTATCGAGTATTTGAGTGTCTTAATAATGTCAGAATTGGATGATCTTAGGTTTATTTGACTATAATTATCTCACATTTGAAAATCGTTTGGTCATCCAATTTATAATTTGAACCTTCCAAATGTGCTTCGAGTCTTTTATTTGGACCCATTTTTGCTCGTACTGGGTCAAATTTGGTGTCGTTTGGTTTGTCTTTTCAAGACGTTCAGTTCAACTATAAGTTTATTAAAATCGGAGTTCAGATGTTCCTAAATTTAATTTTAGAAGTTTTCAACTTAATTTTGCCTCGAGATTCATGCTTGATTAAGATAAAATTTTTATGATATATCAGTAATATAGCCTAGATCTTGCCCCATTTCCAATGCACATTACTCTCATTAGATTAGAGACATATGTTGATCTTAGATCTAGTAGTTTCCAATGGGTGTGGATGCCAACAGGTTGCTATATTACATTATAAAGAATGTGCCAGTAAAAATCTACATAATTCTCTCAAATGCCAATTCTTATAATAAAATTACAATGATGAACTAAATAGAATTGAATATTGGATTAATAATCACTTTTGTTCTATAAATGCAAGGAGTTTAAAATGTTTTACATTTAGAAGTATACACATACTCAACCTTATCGCATCAGTTAACTGTCAATAAAAGGTTGATTAAAATCAAGTAGCAAGAAAGAAAATCAAACATCCCCCATTATTTCTCCTAATTTGCTTCTTCATCCTCTTTTCTTTGTTCATGGAGGAACAATAATTGGAGATGGTGGAACTGAGGATTCCAAAGGCCAGCACTCCCAATGACCCTCCTTGTTTTGAGAAATCTTGAAATGCTTTGGAACCCAATCTTCTCCTTTGCAAATTCTTTCTTTTCTTAGCCTTCTCTCCCTCTCCTCCACCTCCCTTTTATCATCTCTTGCCTTCTCCCAATCCTCTTCTAGTATATCCTTGATTACCTCTCCCCATGCCACTACTGATTCTGTTGGCTTTACTTCCTGAAATTGAAGCAAAAAAATATAGATACTGTACAGTTTTTAACATGTCATGTGTTAGATTCATTACCTGGAGGTTTTTTACAATTGGAGTTTTGAGATTTAGGATGGTTTGTCTAGCATCATATAGAACAGAGGTCTTCTCACTATGGACCTCCTTCAAGAAAATAGTTCTGCAAAATAAAAATAGAAAGTGATTATAGATAAGCACTTTTCTGTCGAGTTGGATCATTATGGTTTTCAGGACCACTGAAATAATACGCTGATTTATTCAGTCAACACTAAATATCTCCCAACGTTCCTGGTAGATTTTTATACCCTATAATAATAAAATTTCAGAAAAGTTCTATCATATAAAAAGGAAATAAGTTAGTTCTACCTGTCCCATTGACCATCAATCTCATAGATGATTTTGGATGATTTGGAGTGAAAAATCTTGCCTTTGATTAATCTAGAATTCCCACCAAAGCCTAAGAAAGAGTGGGCCTTATAGAAGATTAGCTCTGCCTCAAGTCCTGAGTCTTTGCACAGAATTGAAACAGTGCCAGCCCAGTCTGCTCCAGGCACTGGAAATAGATTGAAGAAAAGGTCAGGGGAATTCATTTCATAGCTTTCTCCATGGCTTAAAAGCTTCAGATGCCTCTTCCCATTAACACTAGCTTTGATACTTTTTCCTGAAATCAAAGAAAATAAGTAACAATCAGAAGACAACATGAAAATTTTCCATAGTTTTTTATGATTTAGGTGTTCAATTTACACTGTTTCAATGGTAATAACTTTGATTGAATGTGACTAAAATTCTGCTGTAACATTCAAAATTTGCGGGGATAAAAAAATAATTTCGACGTTAAAACTAACTTTGAACATCTAGAGCTTATATAAGATAGTGTAACTATTGAATAAATTAGCATAAAATTACATAATTTATGAAGTATACCATGAAACTTGGGAACAGGGAATTGGCACCAAATCAGTTCTAGTCTCTCCTCTTCATCAGTTGCATGCAATGCAGAAACAGGAGGGTGGTGTGAGACCTGCCAAAATAGTAATTAGTAACTATGAGAACACTACAGAAAAGCTAACAATGTAAGAAGGGTTAACTATGCAAAAAATCTTTGAGAGATGAAGCTGTGATGTAGTATAAAGAGATGTGCAGAACTGAAATGAAATCTTCCCTCTACTTTCAGATGTTAAGGGCTTGTTTAATTTAAACCATCCAGGAACAAAACTAGTAATTTTCTTAAGATCCTTAAATTTTCTTAAGATCCTTCTATATTTTTCACATTTAAGGTATCAGTCAAATACTTAAATGGGACAAAAATTGACCTGCTCAAGGAGGACATTAAGGTTTCCCCTAGAGACATGATGAGTTTCTCCTAGAACAGGATTGAAAGGAGCCCAGCCGAAGATCACAGGCCTGGTTGTTGATATAGCCCAGGCAACTACAGCAATAAATCTTTCAAGGCTGTTCTTACCACGAGCACATTTCGTTAAAATATCTTCACTTGTGCAGTAAACTGATTCACCATAGCACTGCAGCTGTGATTTTGGCATGTTGAAAATTGGAGGAAGCTACAGATGTCAAAGGAAGAAAGGGTGTAGCAATATATCAGTAAGTGTGAATGTATTAACTATCATTAAAATTTTCACATGGTCTATAGCATTGCATCAAGCTCTATCAAATATATGAAGGTAATGATATGAAATTTTCTTTTGTTGAGCTGTATAGAAACACTGAAAATAAGGCCATATAAGTTCTTAGATCTATATCATCTTCCTCAGAAAAAATTATTCTGTGCAATCACCGGATGAAGTCCGGAGACAATCAGAGTGTGCCACGTCATTTTTTTGCTATGTACCAGTATTGTGTACCAGGTGACGTGGCGCACTCTGATTTGCTTCCGAACAGTCCAATGACCACATAATAATTTCTCCTTCCTCAAGATTGTAACTATCTATTTCTCTCATGGAAAAGAGTGATAGCTATCTGCTCTTTTCGCTATCCTGTTTTGAAGTTCTAAGTTAATAGTAAAATCCAATTTGGCAATGATTTTCTTGCCTAATCTTGATCAAAACAAAATGTCAAAAGCTCATGTCATAATTTATATAAGGAAAAAAAGTTATAATGCACGACATATCTTTAATATGATATAATTAGTATCTTATGAATTATGTTTCATTTGGGACAATTTTCTTACTATTTTCTACAACATCTTTTTATTATCAAAATTTTTTGAAAGCAACGAAAAAATAGTGATCAAAAGTTATCTCAAACGAAACCTTAAATGAAAAAAATTAATATCCCTTTGTGCATAACTAAGGTTCCTTATGTGAATCTATTTTACCTAATCACTTTACATAACAAGCCTAATGCATTAGGTATAAGCTGAACAATATTGATTGAATATGTTGCAGCTTTAGTTAGCTGTCCTCATGACAGATAGGCTTTGATGACCATAGTTAGGATATCTATGTTTGGTAGCTAAATCTGTCTTCCCAAATAATTTTATTTTTGGCCAATAAATTTTTGCAAGCTTACAACTTCTGATTTCAGCAAAATTGTCACAGGTCTTTAAAACAAATTACCTAATTTCTGCTCCATTGCCCTCTATAGCTTCTGAAAGCTGACTATCAGGCAATGACAACACTATCAATGTTTAAAGAAGTCTCTTTCAGGAGGTATTCTAATCCAAATCTTCTTTATCATTGCCCGGGTCACTTTCGGGATTATGGGTCAACCCGAAATCGACTCGATTTTTGAAGCTAATCAACTTGCTGAACTCGAATCAGACCCGTATGTCAAGCGTGTTGACCCGAACTTGTAATTTTCCATATATGATTTCGGGCCATGTCAAATATTGACACTCCTATGTGGACAGATAGTTCAAAGATCTTAGGAGCAAGCTTTTTCTTTTTTAATATGATGTTTATCAGGGCAAAACTAAAATCAATGATAATTATGACATTTAAGGCTCAATTGTTAATAACTAAAGAACTAGTGAAAATGACACGAAATTAGGCAAGCACTAACGAGTTATTTGGTTTGGAATATACGTTTAAATTTGTTTTTTTTTTTTTTAAGAAAAAAAATCAGATTATCTTAATTCAATTTATATTAAAATTAATTTAAACATTATTAAATTAAATTATATATAAAATATTTATATTATATGAATTTAAAATAAATTCAATAAATTTTAAGCTTATTTTCTAAAAATTACATTATGATATTCTGATATAAATTTTTTATTAAAAATTATAACATAAATTTGAACATATTAAAAAAAAATTAAAGTTCAAATTGACAAACTGAGTTTATTCTTTCACTATCAATTTCATTTAAAATAAAAAATTAATACAAAATGTGAACAATTAACTAAAATTATATTAAATAAGACAAAGAATTTTGAATTTTGTTTTGATAAAAGTTTTAATAAGAAATTCTGATCCAATTTTTTAATCAGATATTCCGAGAAAACATTATGAAAAATTAACATTTAAAAAAAAAAAAGTTGACAGGATCTAACGCTTGCCTGAAAATTGGTGAGATCTGATCCTGGCCGTACATTACGAAATAGGCTCAAGACTCGATGGAACATATTAGGTGGTCGGTGCTCCGCGGCTAATCCTTTTTCAAGTGACAACGGCGGCGTAAGCGTGGCCTTCCTTCCCGTCTCTACGCCAACCTGCACCTCATTCATTACTAGTAAATATTTAAATCTCTCCCTAATGTTCTCAAATTAAAAAATAAAAAAAAATATTTATACCTCTTAAATTAATATTGTGATAACATCTCATCTCACTTTGATGTCAAATATTATGAATTAAGTGATAGATATTAATATAATATAAAATAAATTTAATTAAGATATCATAGCTCAAATTTAAATAGAATAAGTTTTGTAATAATCATATTTAATTTAAAATTAATATAATATAAACGTGATAATTTTCTTGCTGTTTTACTTTCGAATTGTAATCATAATTTTTATTTAATCATTATTATTTATTAATTTGAAGAAATTTTTATACTATAAAAATATTTTTTATAATAATTTAAAATTTTATTTTTTTCACAATATTTTTATAATTAACTCTATAAAAAATAACGTCACAAACTAAACTTTTGAGAGGAAAGGTTCAATAGGTTTATTTGTTAGCTATTTGTTGATTCTTCTCATGTAACTATGTAAGCAAAGAGAAATTATTCTGTGCAGACAACGGACCGTCCGGAGACGAATGAGAGCGCGTCACATCTCCCAGTACATAGCAAAAAGTGACATTGAGCGCTCTCATTCATCTTCGGATGGCATCCGGTATCCGTACATATGAATTAATCGTAAGGCAAGTGGATAAATGGATAATTTCCTTGCAGGAAAGCATTAAATCCAAATTTCTTCAAATATTCTTTTCAAGTTAACTGGGGCAAACCAACGGCTAGGATTTTCCAAAGAATCATGTTTGATTAAAAAGTCATAATTAATCATGCTATCATAGTATCATATATGACTTTTTTTAGGAGACATTTATGTTAATTAAGCCAAATTAAAAAAAATGCAATATTTGAACCTATGAATTTTTAGGCTTCATTTGGGATGACTTTCTTTCTGCTTCTTAAAACAACTTTTTAGTACAAAAACTTTAATTTAATTTTTTACTAAAAAACTTCTTTAAGAAGCAGCAAGAAAACCGTCCCAAACGAAACCTTAGGCTTCATTTGGGATAACTTTATTATTGCTTCTTAAAGCAACTTCTTAGTGTATTTTTATACTAAAAAATTATTTAAAAATGCAGAAAAAAAACTATCTCAAAATAAACTCTTAATTGATAATCAAAATTTTAAACCAACAACTAAGCCGAGCTACATCATGTCATCATTTATGATAAATCTATAGGATTAGTACGACGATGACGTAAAAGCAAAATATGCATAAAAGCTAGGGGTATAGAAGTAAGTTCACATAAAAATTGTATAGTAAAAGATGTTAAGCTAGTTCAGTTTTTTTTTTTTTTTTTTTATGTTAATCTAGTTCAGTTATCACAAGAAGTAGGGCTCATAATCAATAATAGTAATACTCATAATCATTTGCATTTTGGAGTTTGTTTAGGATGAGTAAAATATTTTATACAGTTGATTGTAAAGTTAAGAGAAAATAAAATTTCAATTATGATTGTATTTTGATTATAAATTTTTAAACAAAATTATAAGAAAGTAACAATAAAGCAGTGCACAAATAAAATTTTAGTTGTTTGAACAGTAAAGCGACCAAAAAGCTCTCAAATAAGAGAGATTATTATGTGTTGAGTCCGGACAGGAAGAACCGACGGACTATGAGTGTACTATGTACAAAAAATTAATACACCATGCGTACAAATATGTATATAGTGTACACTCACATATCCAGATGATTCTTCTTGTCCAAACTTCGCATAGAATAATTTATCCCCAAATAGACCATTAATCAATTTAAAATTAAAATTTATTTAATTTGGTTTGAGAATATCTCCATTTTAATATTATTGGTCTAAGAAATAAACTGAATAATTATGTTCGCATACATTTATATTTTACTATTTGCAAACATAAATAAATACTGCCAAAAAAAATTGTTTAGTACCCATAAGAATATTTATATTATTATTAAATGAATAAAATATTTTTTTAACTATATTTCATTATTTTGAGCATTATTGTATTATTATTAATATAATTTATATACTGAATATGATATGAGCATATATTTGAAAAACTTTCTCACCAATTTGTTTTTTTCTGAATCAATTATGATTTTGCATTGTTTTTTTTTCTTTTCTTTTTAAAAATTTAAATGAATAGAAAAACTTTTACATCATATTTATTAGTGTGGTAGTTATTACTTATTAGAAAGTTGCTATTTGGATTTTTAAAAATGATAATTATTCTCACAATAATATTAAAAACAATGTATATATTTTTTAATAAATCTTTAATTATTTTTACAAACTGGTGCAATGAACCGTCATATTCATTAAAAATCATTATTAAAAAATGAAATACTATTAAATTCCACTAATTAAAATAGTCTTTTTTGAAAGTTCATTTAAGGCTTATTTTTTGCTCCTTTCCTCTTAAGATCGTCACTATATATATATTTTAACTGAATACATATTTTTTAATTATTTTTCCAATACTTTCTAATCAGAAGCAGCTTTGTAAAATCAAGTATGCTAAAATATAAAAAATCTAAGAAAATATTATCCAGCTTGTTTTAAAAATCATTTTTAACATACATAATTATTTAAAAAATCTATTTTTATCATAACAATTATACAACTATTAAAAATATTTGCACCAAAACTTACATAATTATTTAGGCTTCATTTATGACAATTTTTTTACAGTTTTAAAACATAAAGTAGTAAGAAAATTATTCCAAAATACTTATTCCATAAAAATCACATTATTATATTCATAGGCATCTAAAATATATGAAAGAAAATATCTAAATATATTATGATATAAAAAATAATGAAATGAATTTTAAGATATTCAATTTATATTAAAATATCAAATTAAAAACTAATTTTAACATAAATGAAATGATTTTATAATTTATCATAATACATTTTGTAACGTGAATGCATTAAAAATATAAAAGGCAAGCTATCATGCGCCGAAGCACTAACGGCGCACGATTGCGAGAAGAATTCCTCACCATGAGAAATGACTATCACACATCAAGAGTCGTGTCAAGCGGTGCTTCACCATTCCTCACAGTGATCAATTCCTCCTTAAATGGGGTCCGGAAAGAGCGTCCGACGCGTCGGTTCGCCGTGCCACGTCATCGGTTCGCCGTGCCACGTCATCGGTTCGCCGGAACTTGCCCGTTGCCAAACCGCTCGCCGGCAATCGTGAGTTTGCCGGCTCGCCGGCAATCGTGAAACCGCTTATACAACAGTAAAAACAGAGAGTCTCAAGAGAAGAAGCAGATGAGGAATAAGAAGAAGAGCACTTTACCATTTTCAAATGAACAAGTATCGTATCCTCCGATTTCAGGAATGAAGAAGATCTCTCTCGATCTCCCCCTCCCCCGCTCTCTCTCTTTCTCTCTCTCTCTCTCGTCTTTGTTTCTCGGGCTGAGGAGATCAGACAGAAGGGGAGGCGAGCGGGAGTTTATAATTTTTTTGGTGAGAGGGGATTTCTGTAAATAAAAAATTATAAGCTACAATGTAGAATAATGTCAGGATGTTGGGATAGCTTGATGGCGACGTCGGGAAGGGCGTTCAGCGGACTGGGCCACCGCGAGATGGCATTTGGATTGGTTTTGCTGATCAGATGTTAATTATGGAGATTAGTGGCTTAAAAACTCTTAATAGTCAAAATTTCCTTACCAGGTCGTTCTTTCAAAAAAAAAAAAAAATATATTTATATAATATAATAACTATGAATTATAATAGAGAGAGGAGAAATTATTCAGGGCGGACAACGAACGCTGTTTGAAGATCAATCAGAATGAGCGACGTCGGTACCACGGCTCTATACTGCACGTACTGTACTGCGCTCGGTATTGTTGATGTAACTCATATTCTGATTGGTCTCCGAATGTACAGCTGCGTTCGGCGTCCGCACAGAATAATTTCTCTAGAAAGAGAACTTTGGGATCATATGATGAATTTTATTTTGAGCTAACTAATTATGAAAACAAACATTTTCACTTGAGGATTCCAATGGCACCAAAAATTTCTTGATTTCAGTCCAATTGAACTTAAATCCAACATTCAAAGGTTGAAATAGAAATTTCCCAGCACAATTTGGGAGACCAAACAACCATCGAATCTTGCATACTTGTACTGCAATCTAGTGTCTCAATGAAATGAATCCACAAAGCCAGATATTATTAAGGCTTTAGAATACCTAAAAATATTACATGATAAGGAGGATTAATTTGGACTGTCTAACGAATTGTTCTAATTTCTAGATGAAATCATCTAAATATTGTTATCTAGAAATCTATAAATTAATCCAACTATTACATATTTAGGGATGGTGGGGATGATCGCCATTAGAAATATTCAAAATAAGAGAATCCAGAGCTCTACTTGCAAGCACCAAATGCCCACTATTAATAATAACATCAAGGCCTATCGATGTTAAGATGATCTTCGCTCGTTGTCAACACTAACACCAATACTCGTTGATGTCAACAATGTTATTGCTCATTTTTTGACATCAATGCCAAATGCCCTTCATCGACACCAACATTTGTGCTTGTCAATCGATGTCAAAAGGTCATCGCCCTGACAACAATATCAATACTTGCTAATACTTATAATCTCATTTCTCACCATTCACACAAACGCTAATGTCCACAACAAAAGACAACCGCTCATTGTTGACACAAACATTGATGTATGCCGATGCCAAAAATATTAATTGTTGCATGTCAATAACACTAACATAAATGCTAATAATGTTAGCAAGGTCATTGCTCATTGTCAATGCACACAATATCATAAATCACCATCGACACAAATGGTTCCCTTGGTTTTCTTTCTTATAATTTTTTTGTTATCCCCTCACTACAAGAAAAGCGTCATTTTCCGACTGTGGCCATTTCTTTCAAAAAAAGACTAAAATTTGTTGGTAATTTGTATTTTTGGCGGAAATTTTTTCTACGGTAAAACACGTGTCTTAAAACAAACACCGATAAAAAATTCTGCCGCTCTTGGTGAGTGCTAAGTAACTTGTAGCATTGAACATTCTATTCAATTGATAATAATTGTCACATGAAGGTACGACTAGAATAAAATCTAAGATGTTCGTAGAAGGTGATGCAAATGCGAATAGAATGGTGGTTCAGAGGTTTGGTCTCCCCAACACACTAACAATAATAACAATAATAAAATTAGACTTTGTATGTTAATAAAAATAAAAAGATAAAGCAATTTATAGAAACCACTTGCAACCTTATTGCCCTCATCACTTTAGATATGATTATTGTCGTGACCACTACAGAAAAATCACTTATTACCGGCGGTTTTTGCCGGCAGTTAACTCATGTTTTCCGGCGGTTGTGTAAAAAACCGGCTGCTTATCCTTGCATAACGGCCGGGTAGGCCGCTACTAATAACCGACGGTCCAACCGCCGGATAAGCCGCCGTTACTACCGGCGGCTGGACAACCGCCGGTAATCAATAAATTTTTTGTAGTGGACATTTATGTTAATGGTTATCAATCTCTCTCAATGATATCTTGACATTTATGAGATTGACTCTTCTCTATCACTTCCTCTCTCTTAGTCTCTCTCATGTTCAGGACATGCACGTAGCCCCCTTTCACTTCCACATATAAATAAACGGTGGTTAGACTACTAGCTAGTTATTGAGCAAAATGCAAAAGATCATCAAATCAAATAAAAACTTACGTTAACCCTCTTAACATTTATGGATAGAATCTTAGTTATTCATAAACTTCATCTTATAACTGCTTAACAAACATTCAGTTCTTTGATAGATCCTTAATTAGTAATGGATCTTAGCCAATTTGTTCGAATATTTACATTAATCATTATGGTTCTTTTTTAAAAGGTTTTTACATCACATGTTTGTTGGTTTTGTGTGGAATACAATTGTGTCAATCAATCTGGTTGTGTTATTGGCTAAGCCTCAATTTTCTAGCATGAGTTTAATGAGAAGCTCACTGGGGGGTTGTGGGGGCAGCACGCTCTTGCTCAGGGGTTTGAAGTGAAGCCCTTATTGTGTTGTGGTGCTAGAAATCCAGCGTGAAAGCACTATGGAACATTTCTAGGACAAATCACAATGCAGGAGCACTGTGAACTCAGCACAACAGTGTTATAGTTTACAATGCAATGATGGTGGGAGATAGAGAAGTCAGCACCTAAGTGTTGCATATACAACGACGTAGCACTGCGAATAGGGTAGAACAATTTTTCTTATTTCACTTGAAGGGTTGCATTCTTCAGTCTAATAAAGGTACATCTCTTTGCATGTTCTGATTGTAGAGTAAAAGGGCGGGATGGCCAATTTTAGGTCAATTTCTGGCGTTTGTCCGGCGGTTTGAACCGTCAGAAAATATTCACTTAACACCGGCGGCCAAACCGTCGGTAACATGCGACGCCCAAACAAAAAATCGGCGATCATTTTACCGCCAGCATTTTCGACAATTTACGGTTAAAACCGGCGGTCACACGGCCGGTTTAACCACCGGTAATACCGCCGGTAATTGTTGGTTTTCCTGTAGTGTTAGGAGAGAGTGTGAAAAGAGAGATATGTACAATTTCTCTTATTTTTATTGTTGATTTCTTGGTGCGATGTGACTTTATTATTTTTTCCTAATTTTGAATTTTCACATGTTAAGTTGATGTTCTTTTCACTGTTTTCTTTTTCTTGTTTGTTTTGTGGTTTTATTCCCAACAATGGTAAGGAAAACAACTAATTTAATGCACTTATAAGCTGTTATGAATGAAGCATGGATGTGTAGTTAAAACACCTTCCTTTTTTCACAGTTTTTGAAAGGTCATTATAATAGTGATGGATGTTGTCAAAATATATCTTCAACTTTATTTGCAAATGAAAAGACACTTAACACAGCTCTCTCTGATCTGTTGGTTGGGAGTTTTGGCTACCAACTAAGAGGTCTTGAATTTGAATTTTACTTATATGATATTTGTATGAGTCTGTCTTCATTAGCCTAAATGTCCAAAAAATATATATTTAACCATTACGGAGAAAGGTAGTAGCTTATAAACGGAAAAAAATTACATATAGATTAATCTGATATAACATGCATTACGCTTGCTTAGATGTCATTAAGATTAGTGCTTATATATTATAAATCATACAAATTCAAGCCTATTATCATGAATTTTTTTAATAACATGCATCTTCTTTATAATACATTCATAAATTCATTTCTTTGAAATGTCTAAACAGTATATCTGTGTATATAGGCATATGGATACTGAACTTTCAGTTAACCAGTATGGAACTTCTTTAACAAGTTCTAGATCGTTATATGATGTTGGGAAGCTATATTAATCAACTTAGGTTTCTTTGAAACAATTTTTTTAATGCTTTCAAAAGCAGTTTTTTAATACAAAAATTTATCTCGAGATTTTTTTATAATAAAAAATTGCTTTAGAAAGTAATAAGAAAACATTTCCAAACGCCATATTGCATGATACTTGGTTATAAAAAAAGCATCATGTAAGCATTATTTCCTACATTATTCATTTATTTGAATGGCCCTTACCTATAGTTCTTAAACATTTGCTTTGAGTCGTTATAATCAGGGGTGTCAATTTCGAGTCACTGGTCGGGTTTGGGTCGAACCCGAAATTGACCTGGTACTATTCGGGTATCTGAACCCGACCCGTTTTTGAAAACAGGTCAGTTTTCCTGACCCGCTTCGGGTCTAAGTCAACCCGACAAGACCCGAATGACCCATTTCCAACAAAAAATTGCTAGTTTTGGATCAAAAAAAGTCTATATCCTTTTCCTCGGGTAAAAATTGGGTCTATATCCTCTTTTTAGGGTAAAAAATGGGTCTATATCCTCTTTTTAGGGTAAAAAATGGGTCTATATCCTCTTTTTTGGGTCAAAAATGGGTCAAAATCGGATCAATCTCGGGTTGCCGTGTCAAAATCGGGTTTTCGTGTCAAAATCGGGTCAAAGGGTTAACCGGAACCCTACCCGATTTTTGAAACGGGTCGAAATGTTGAACCCGAACGGGTTCGGGTTGACCCTAACCCAAAATTTTCGGGTCGGGTTTTAGTCGCGTTTTCGGGTCGTGTCAAATATTGACACCCCTGGTTATAATAAGGTTTTGTTTGGGACGATTTTTTTACTATTTCTTAAAAGTTTTTTGGTACATAAATTAAAATTTTTGTGCTAAAAAAAATTATTTTTAAAAACAGTAAAAAAGCCGTCACAAACAAAATCTAAATATTACTGACCGTCTTGAACATCTAATTCCTCCATTTCATTATAGCTTAGACCTGTAAACTCAACTTTAGTGGAAGAAACATTATGAATAGTACTGTAACTCTCTAAGGAGTACAGGAAAAGTGGCTAATAGCTATGATTCTTAACTGCGAAAAAATTCTGTTTGAGTTGCCAATGTATTAATGA